TGGCCTTACATTTGCCAGCAAATATATTATTTCTTATTTTTTTATTTCATAATTATGTTTATTACTTATTCATGGAAACAGACCCAGTGAGGTGATTCATGAGTGCTTTTGATAGTTTTGGTGAAATCAAAATTAAAGAGTATGTAAAGCTTAGCTTAAGACAGAATAAGGTCCTTAGTTAACAGTCTCTCTCTTTTGGGAACCCTTCCATCTTTGGATCACTAGCATTGCTGGGTGCCACAGTAACCTCTTAGCCATTCATTTAAGACATCAATTATTAGTTAAAGACTTTCAGAAGAGACTTGGTCTTACTTGCAGTGCCCTGAGAGCCAAAGTACAGATTAGGAGCTAAAAGATCAGGCACTTGGATTTTAAAGTCTCGTCTGTGTATGGGAGCAAACAGTGATTTTTTTTTTATTTTTTTTTTTTTAATTCTGCAGTGTGAAGTGAGTACATGTTATGAAAATTATGGTGCTCACTGGACTGCAGGGACAGAGAGTGGTTGCTTGCTCTATGTTCACAGGATGGCACTGAGGGAGAAGGGAGTGGTTGCCCTTCCTTGGTTCCCTCTTACTCTTTTCTTTAAGTTCAAGCCTGTAGCTCTATTAGAAGGGAGAGAAAGAGAGTGGGTGTTATAATAACATGTAGGCTTTGAGACAGGCAGTTCTGGAAGTTGCTTAAACAAAACCATTGAGATCATTTTGTCAAGACACTGTCTGGTTCACCAGTAAATGCTTTGGAAGAAAAAAATCAGATCACTTATACCTTCCCTTATTTGCTGTGTGAGTTACTCTGCAGATTGCTATCTACACCATCACACCTGTGTTCTGTTGTTCTATTTCCTGTGCATAGAGCAAAGTGCATCAGAGAAATTGTAGGTGAACAAAATCATGTTTAGAAACATCAGCTTTTTCTTGTCATGTTTTGAGTGCAGAATTCATGCTGAAGCAAAGGAATTAAGTGGAGAATCTTGAGAGCAGGCAGAACAAAGCCAACCAGGCAAAGCACAAAAGAGATGCTCTGGTGTCCCTGGAATGTGAAAAGCAAGGTATTGAGCACAGTGACATTGTCCCCTCTTCTCCTGGCCTGGGTAACTTAATCCTATTTGATGCAATACAGCTTATGAGAAAGATTCTTTTTTGACATCTGATTGAGGTGACATCAGTTCTCAAAAATACCACTTCAGCACCAGAGGAAAGGGGGAGTTACCACTCAATGATGAGAATGGCTGGGTGACTGCAGTGGGGGTGAGCAGAGCACATGGCGTGGCAGGGAGAGAAAGAAAAGCAGATCAGCTTCATACTTTTTTCCCACATGAGGATGTTTTTTTGCATTCTTTTTGTTCGGTGTCAGTTTGTGGATGTGGGTACACAGACGGCCCTGGCAAGTCATCACACTCGTGAAAGTTGCAAGGCAGAGGAGTCTTTAGCATTTGGGACCGATGCTTTCTGCCAGTTTTGTTGATGCCTCTGGAAATACTGATGCAGTTGACCTTTGTGCAATCATGTAGCTGTAGATTAAGAAACGTGCAGTGGAATATCTTTAACATAAACTGGGAATACGAAGCAGAGACTTATACAAAAAGAATGACAAGCTAAAAATAAGTGAAGCAAAGATGTTGGTAGTTCCTTTTTTTCCTCCAGATATGCCAAAAATTTCGTTATTAGCAAACATAAGGTGAATATTTCCATTAAGAATAATAATAAAGATTTCTGAATTATCCAGGAGTGGCGTAGAAGACAGGACTTAAACATTTTCAAGCCATGTAAAGTCATTCTCAAGGAAGTACATTTTACAGGATTTTATGGACGGGTACACTGAAGCAATTCTGTGACTCCATCTCTGGTATCACAAAATTTGTAGAGGCAGAAATACAAATAAAAATTAGTTCTCGTGATTTTTGTAGACTGGAATTTTATTAGTATAGAAGCAGCACAATTATAGTGAAGACTGAAAAAAATACTTTTTCTATATGTAATGCAATGCATAACTTGCCTTTGTTTATTCTTTTTTCTTTTCGACTTCCCAAACAATTTTTATGCTTTGGCGTGTGTTGAACAGCATTTTAAAAAATAAAGCAGTAAAGATATTATGGAAAATTCTGATCTTGTTATTCAAAGTGAATGAATCTTTTTAATTGCTTGTTGATAGATTAGAGATGCATTTTTATTTCCATTGAGGCTTTTGTAAGCCACGTTATATCATTCAGCTGTGTTGGTTTCCAGTTCACCTTACATTGTGCAGGTTGAGTATCCTTGTTCTTTGGCACTGTATGGCTGAAACCCAGAAACAGTAGCTTTGAATATTCTGATATATCAGGAAGCACCACATCATTTGATTGTTCAATTGCTGCAGTATGAAACAACTTAGTCTTTTTTGTGTACATTTGCTTGGATGTTTGCAATTCATGGCACTGTTACTTTCCTAGCTGTGTAATCTGCCCAGCTCTTCCCGTAGTGCTCCGGTACAAACACCAGCAGTATGATCGGTGTGGAGGCGTGATTGTGACAGCACAAAAGCTACAGTGTGTGCATAAAAGGAACCAAATCACTTATGCACAATTAACAGGACCATGTTTCAGAGAGATCACCAAACCATGGCTAAAAGCACGCTTTTATGTAATTACCTTGTTATTTTCTCTTTGATTCATATAAAACTGGTTTTTGTTGTTAATGAAGAAAAAACAGTCACAGTATGAATTGTAAAGAATTCACCCTTAATAATATTAATTATAAGTTATTAGTTTAAGTCACTATTAAATTGTGAAGCAATGGAAAGTACAAAATGTTATGATGGAAGACTGCTTGGCTTTGAATATGTTAAATCAGCCTAATAGGAATAAGTTTTGATGATACAGCAATAAATCCAGAGTACATTTAAAAGTTAAGTGAACAATTACCACAGAAATTTCTTTCTGGATGCCCAAGAGGAGCACAAAGTTACCAGAACTAGGATTTGAAGCCAGTAGTTCTGGCAAGGGATTCAAGCATCTCTTTCATGGGACTGCTGAATGTGGCAAAACAGACTTTTACTCTTCATAGGTAAGCTTTCTGTAGTAGGGCAGGGAGAGGTGTGGGTGGGGTTCTGCAGAGATTCCACACTTGCAATGAATTATGTGCACTGTGGTTTCACCCCAGCCAGCAGCCAAGACTCCGTAATTCCCATTCTGTTAAGCCACTGTAAAGAACATTAATTCTACCCCAGCCAAAACCAGCACATTGTGTGACATGTAGTCTTTAATCTCTCAGTTTGCAGGGTAATCTGAATGAATATCCATTCACCCTAACTGAATATCTGTGTGCAGTTAAGTTGGCATTGAGGCTGATTTTAGGTTTTGAAATTCCAAGTATCTGGCATTACCACACAACCCAGTTGGGTTGTGCTCTGGATGGAGAAAGCATAACATCTATGCTTTTTTTCCCTACTGGTCACTTTGCATTCTCTTGTGCTAGGTAAGCTTTAGGCATGGCCTGGGTTTTGTCTACATGGAGCAGGAATTTCATTCTGCACTCATCAGTGACAGAATCTCTTGTCAGATGACACAATCCATTGGCTTTCCTCCCACCACAGTATTAAATCCAGCTGGTGTTTCTGCAAGAGGACAGTGTGTGCCAGTCCAAGGGGCTGTGGGGTTGATGAGTACTGGGAAGTCTAAGATTCTTCCATATGCCTCCTTGTGACGGTGACTGTGAGAATTTCATCCCTTCACCTGTTGTTGTAAGGCTGTTCTTTACCTAGAAGTGCACATAAACCTCTGTTCCTGAGTTACTTATGCAGGAAAAACTGCTTGGGGTTACTCAGTGCTGCTTCCCAAAATGTGTGTGTCTGAACCTTCCCAGAGCCATCAGCCCTCCAGTCACTTCAGATTCCTCCTTTGCTTTTAATATTGTCAGTCAGATTAGGAGGGGGTTTGCTAACAGCATGATGAAGGAGTTGGTAAAGCCTAAAAAAATGAATTTACATCCATTTAATATTTAGTTTACTGTGCCCTACCAGTGGTGCTAGTGGAGGCAGTGGCTCTGACTATGTTAGGATAGAAGTAAAAAAAAACCAAATTAGCTGATAGATTATCATATATTTGAGGCAGACAAAGATGTGTAACTTGGGTATCCACTAAAAAAAAGGCTTCTGTGTATCAACTCTGAAATTCAGTCTATTTGTGGTTTTTGTTATAGAGGGAATTGGACTGTCTACAAATACAAGTGCTTCTACAAAATTATTCTGCTGAGTAATGCTCCAGTTCATTTGCTGTTCCCAACCCCCCTGAAACTCTGCATGCATATCTGCTTAAAATCAGCAAAAAGTGTAGCTAGTAATGAAATAATTCAAATTTAGTTTATTTTGTTTCATGATGCACAAATAGGAAGTCATTTAAGTGTGACTGATTTTATTCATCCATGGTAGTTGCTCATCTGAAATGCTATTGAAATTCAGTAATTGGAGCTCTGAAATACAGTATTTGACAGATGGTGTGGGTGGTTGTGCCATTTCTATGATAAATCTACTTACAAATATAACCATGGGAAGTTGTGTTCATTCCTTGATTATGGGAACATATAGATGGAAAAAGTGACAAACATGACATATGTGTCTTGGTTCTTCGTTTTCCTCTTATAATGATTTGAATTCTTAAACTAATGCAAGAGAGAAGCTTCTTTTACTTGTCTGAAAAGGAGTTGCTAAAATATTCCTTCAGTAACCTTCCTTTTCTTACATTTCTTTGAAGCTTTTCCTATCGTGAATTACTTTTGTAATGTCTTCAAGCATCAGTTGGAAAGCATTGCTCATTTTAGATGAAAACAAAGTAGATCTTCTCTAAGATACATTTACTGTTAGCTGAAAGTATTGGAGGCTGGAGAGATGGACAGTCATGTTGCCCCAGGGCTTACTGTTGAAACTTAGAGATGGTAAAACAATATAAATAAAAAATATACTCCATTATCCAGTTTGAATATTCTTTTTTTTTTTTAATTCTTTTTATTCTCTTTGTGTTTTAACAGAAATCACCGATGCTGGTACTAGAGGAACCCAAGACACAATTAAGGGCGTGAAAAGAAAAAAGATTGTGTCTGAAAACCATCTTAAAAAAATACCAAAATCGCCTTTGAGAAGCCCTGCTGAAGCCAAGGTTAAGCAAAATGTAGACCCTTCACCGCTAAAAGCTCTTCCGGATGCTTCCGAACGTGCCACGGCACAGGATCACCTGCCCGTGCAAAATGGAAATCAATGTACCAAACAAAATGGGGGAGCACTTAGCAGTGAGATAAGTGTTGAAACAACCAAATCTGAGACATCAATGCAGACAAAGCTTTCACTGACGCATCAGTCCTTAGATTTGTGTAAACAGGCAGCGGGGAATACTGATGCAAACCAACTGAACTCAGCAGAGAGGAAGCCTCCCTCAAACTCCTCATCAAGTAATACAAAGACTGACAGTAATGAATGTATTAATTTTGTTGATTGCAGTACGTCGTCCCCATGTACGCGTACTGCATTCGATGTCTTACTAAAAGCTATGGAGCCTGAACTGAATACCTTAGCACAAGAGTGCCCCCCTTATGGGATGCAGATAGAGAAACTGAGACCAAATAAAACTGTAAGCACCTCTTCTAGTCTCACGTCCAATACAATAAGTGTCCAAAATCAGTCTGCTTTGTCACAGCAGGAGTTTGCAGCTGGACCTCCCTATTACCCGTGTACGTTGAACAATGTGCATGTAGCAACAACAGCCAAGACTGGACAAGCACAAGGCCAATCAGTTTCTCATTCACAAGACCTTATTACTAAAACCAGTCAGCAAAATCACCAGGTTGTTATGTGTCCAAGTTTAACTAGGTCGCTGGTGCAACAGCAGAGTCAAGAAAACCCCAAGCTCCAGCAGGTCTACAGCATAGCAGTAACTTCGTCTGTCGTTCACACCTCATCTTCCACTGTAACTCAGGTTTTTTCTCAAAACCCCTTAGTAGCTACTTCATCTTCACCATTGTCAATTAACACATCAAGTTCAACACACTTGTCTATAGGTCCCGTGTATAATTCAGCCCAGATAACATCAGTTGTAAACCATGGTGTAGAACAAATATGTAACCTCTTGAAAGACCAGAAGCCTAAAAAGCTAGGGAAATACGTCTGTGAGTATTGCAATCGGGCCTGTGCCAAGCCCAGTGTTCTCCAAAAGCACATCCGATCCCATACTGGAGAGCGACCATATCCTTGTGTGACATGTGGGTTTTCATTTAAAACCAAGAGCAATCTCTACAAGCACAAAAAATCTCATGCACACGCTATCAAACTTGGACTTGTCCTGCAACCAGATTCAGGTGGCCTCTTCTTATCTCATGACTCGGACAAAGCACTTAGCATTCATTCAGATGTGGAAGAAAGCGGTGAAAGTGAAGATGAAGGCACTGCAGATGAAAGACAAGATGATCAAGAACTGGAACCTGCACAATTAGTGAAAGTCATTTCGAGTGCAGAAACACTGCAGAAAGGAAGCCCTACCCTATTAAGCAACCCAGACTGTATATCAGCTGACTCTTCATTACATGATGCAGAACCACAAGTAAGGGCAGCTTTACCAAAAGTAGTAGTTCATTCTGTAAATGTTTCTCCATTGAGGGCTGATAGCCCAAAAGTGACAGAGCCAGCACCTGAGCTTGCTGCAGCCCAGAGAAAAGGAGATTCTAAAGTCACAACTCTTCAGTCAAATTTAACACATACAGCCTCATTCAAGGAGAATGACATAAAGCAGCATCAGAAAGTAGAAGCAGGCCTGTTAGAGGAACAGCCAGGATCTACAGGAGGACCAGTGCATGCTCAACTCCAGAGACAACAGGCTACTGATGGTTCTCAAGATCAGCAAGGAAAATGTCTTTTGAGCCCTAGAAGTTTAGGTAGTACTGATTCCGGTTATTTCTCTCGTTCTGAAAGTGCCGATCAAACAATGAGCCCTCCAGCTCCTTTTGTAAGGGGATTGTTGACCTCTGAGAAAGATCCAAATAAAAATCTGCCCTGTGTGCCACGAGCAAGCGGCATGGTAGCATCAGTGGTACAAACTGTTTGTGCTGAAAAAAATCTGATTCTCTCTGGCCAAATGCGACCTCCCTTGGCAACGAAAACCCTTGAGGAGCGTATCTCAAAGTTAATTTCTGATAATGAAGCTGTTGTGGATGACAAACAGTTAGATAGTGTAAAACCAAGAAGAACATCTCTTTCAAGAAGAGGAAGCATAGATTCACCAAAATCTTACATATTTAAGGATTCTTTCCAGTTTGATTTAAAACCCATGGGAAGAAGAACTAGCTCAAGCTCTGATATACCAAAGTCTCCTTTCACACCCACTGAGAAATCCAAGCAAGTTTTTCTTCTTTCTGTACCATCCCTTGACTGTTTACCTATAACACGAAGTAATTCCATGCCTACCACCAGTTACTCAGCAGTACCTCCTAATGTCATACCTCCCTCTCATCCTCTTCGAGGAAGCCAGTCATTTGATGATAAAATTGGCTCTTTATACGATGACGTTTTTGTGTCAGGACCTGCTACCCCACTGAACCAAGGTGGACATCCTCGGACCCTAGTCAGACAGGCAGCAATAGAAGATTCTTCTACTGGTGAAAGCCAAGGTCTTGGACCAGTGCGATCTGTAGAAGAAAATTATCTGGGGTGTAATTTATCAAATGAATCCTTATTGCACAGGAGCAAATCCCTGGCACAGGGATCAAATTCAGAAAAAACAAAGAAGTCCCCTCAGGTGCGAGGAACAATGTTTGAATGTGAAACCTGCAGAAACAGATATAGAAAACTGGAAAATTTTGAAAACCACAAGAAATTTTATTGTTCAGAGTTGCATGGACCTAAAACTAAAGCAGCAATCCGAGAGCCTGAGCACAAAACTGCTCCAAACAGTACACAGCCTCAAATTCTACACTACAGAGTCACAACTTCAACTGGTGTCTGGGAGCAAACACCCCAAATAAGGAAAAGAAGGAAAATGAAAAGTGTTGGTGATGATGATGACCCACAGCAAAATGATACTAGTGCACCATCAAAAAACACAGAAGGCCAAAGCAAGCCAGCAAATTCTTCCAGTCTGTCAAAACACAGTGCCACAACTGTGGTAGGATCACAACAACCAAGCAAGCTTCTACTTCAGAATTCCCAAATTCAGCTTGTGGCTCGTGGCACAGATCAGACTACTGAGCCAAAGATGGCTCCCCTCATTGAAAAGCAGTCAAGTTCAGCTGTGCAAGAAAAGGTGGAGTTGAAAAGACAAGGGACTGGCATTTCAGTAATACAGCACACAAATTCACTGAGCAGAAATAGCTCATTCGAGAAATCAGAGTCATTTGAAAGAGTATCACCAGTTTCTTCTCAAGAGCCCAACAAGGGCACAAAGCACCGCTCTTTGAATACAGTTGTAATCCAAGAAGACAGACACTCTCATCTGAGCACTCCCCAGCGTCACCAACCCTTGTCATCAGAACCACCTAGAGGGGAAGTGCAGGGAAGCCAATTAGTTTCTAATGAGAGAAGTGCACCACTTCAGCCATCAAGACTCGTTCGCCAGCATAACATCCAAGTTCCTGAAATACTGGTCACAGAAGAACCAGACAGAGAGCAGGAAAACCAATGCAGTGACCCAGAAAAGACAGAAAGGTTTAACTGGCCACAACGCAGTGAAACGCTGTCAAAATTGCCAACAGAAAAACTTCCACCAAAGAAGAAGAGAATTCGGTTGGCCGAAATGGAACATTCATCTGCTGAATCCAGTGTTGACTCCACACTTTCCAGAAGCCTAAGTCGGGAGAGTAGCTTGTCTCATGCCTCTAGTTTCTCAACTTCACTTGATAAAGATGAAACTTTAAAGGCTGAGAATCCTTCCAAAGCAGAGCCTGTTAGTAAGTCATCAGAATTCCTCATGATTCCTGCTGGCTCACATGCACTGGCAGTGCCTGGACCTCATTACCGGGAAATGAGACGTGCCGCCTCAGAGCAAATCAGCTGCACGCAGCCCTCAATGGAGGTTGTGGACTACAGGAGTAAGTCTTTCGACTGCGGGAGCATGTCTCCATCAAAACCTGTCCCGCTTGTAGAGGTAGCCACTCCAAAAGGGTCATCTGCAAATGGAGCTGCTGGACACGTGCCTCTGCTAGAAAGGAGGAGGGGGCCATTTGTAAGACAAATATCTTTAAATATTGCTCCCGAAAATCAGCAGCCTCAAGTGAAATCGACTTCTTCATTACAGGCAGCTCATGCCACAGATGTGCCCACAGTGCCATTGCACAGGCTGCAGACCTCTGGCAAACCCTCGGTGGAGTTTCCTTCAAGTACTCAGCAATCACAGACTAACTCCAGACCTAATTCAACAATTCAAAATTGTAATCCTGTTAGCCTGCCTTCATCTCAGCAGCCTCTGGATCACATGTTGAATAATCAAGGCCAGCCGTCCTTGACTCATCAGCCTTCTCAGCCGTCTACTAAAACATCAGCCCAAGGGGAACAAGCAGGCACAAACTCGCTTTCTTGTCAACCTGATGAAAAAAAGGACTGTTTTGCTCCAAAGTATCAACTTCAAGTTAAAACATTGCATATAGGTCAGCCATACTCTTCTAAATTGCTAAAAAATACTTTATCAACTCAGACTGGTCCAAATCAAGTTGGCGTGGACCAGAATGCATCTTCTTTTGAAGTGCAGACAAAACTCTCTGACATGTCTAACCCATACTCTGTGCCTCCTCTAAAGCAAATTGTTCCTAATAACTGCAGCAGTCAGATCCATCAGATTCCTCCTTTTGTGGTTCCCGTCCGTATTCAGAGCAGTATGCCATCCTATGGCTTCGCAACTGTTACACCCCTGCCTCACATTTTAGTGACCCAGGATCAGGGAAATCAGTCCATCTGCAAAACAAATGTCGTGATGGTGCCAACTCTTGAAGGTAAAACTCAGCTGCCAAAATCTCACAAAGATCATCAGAGAACTTTGCCAAATTCATTTGAATTTGAAAATTCACCACTGGAAAGTGGTACCAGAAATTCACCTTTGTCAAGCTCTTCAAATATCATTCAGAAAGTGCCAGTTAGCGGACTCTTCCCTCAACCAGAAGTTACAGCTTCAAGTAAACGAATGCTTTCCCCAGCAAACAGTTTAGATATTGCCATGGAAAAACAGCAAAAACGTGTTAAAGATGAGAGTGGAGCTGCTTGTATGGCAGATGCTAGACCATTGCATTCACTGAACATTAGATCTAATGACCCTCCTAGTAAGCAAAAGAAACCAGTTTTGGTAAGACAGGTTTGCACCACAGAGCCTCTTGAAAATCACCTCTTGGATCCTGATGTTGTCACACAGCATGAAAAAAGCAGCAAGGCCAGTACTTCAGACCTGCCTGACCATCAGTCATCTGACACTGGGATTTCAGAAACCCTAAAAAAGTCACCAGAATCCGAAGACATTAAGTCTTCCACATCACCACTGTTTGTAGTCGGGAAACCTTCTGAATTGTCTCCAGTGAACAGCCAGAGTTCTCTTCTCAAGGCTGTAAGTAGCAGCCAAGAAAGAAGGTCCCCACCTAACAGTGATGACAGCACCCACATCAGCAGCCCAGGCCAAGCAAAGCCTGTAGCAACACTGGCTGTGATGAATGCAGGGGAAATGCAGAGGTTGTCATTTCCAAGCCTCAAGACCACAACAAATTTTACCTGGTGTTACCTCATGAAGAGAAAACCATTGCACCTGCTGCAAAATGATCAAAAAATCTCTGCCTATTCTACATGGACCATTAGTCCCAACAACCCCAATCCACTCGGTTTGTCGACAAAGGTAGCTCTCTCCCTCCTCAATTCCAAACAAAAAGTTGAAAAGCCACTGTACACTCTAGCAAGAACTACGCACCCCAGATCTGATGTATTGGTCTATTCAAGCAAGTGGAAGAACAGCTTGACCAAGGTACTTAAGCTATGTTTGATGTATATTGATCATTTACAGAGGATTTGCTTTGGAAATCATGCTTCTTCATATTTTAGAGAATGTAATATGCCTGACACATACCATATATGTGCTTATTTATTCTAATTATGGTGGATCAAACTGCTAAAAAGATCTTAAGTAATTCAATTAGGAAACATGTTCATAAGGATTTATAATTTTTTATGGGAATTAGTTCCTGGGCTTAAATCTGTGTATTGAGTGTTCATTGTGGCAGGAATGTGTCTGGCTATTTTTTTGTCATGCAAAGGGTAGAACAAAATAAGTCTGATATAAATATTTTTTAAATACTTCTAACTCAAATTAATTTAGGATCATAATTACATATTTTGCCTTAAAATTCAGCTAAGGAAAGAACAATAAGGGTATTTTCTGCTTCAAAAGAGTACTCAGCTTGAGCAGGTGTCCATGGATACACCATGAAAACAGTTTTCACCATCACTGATCATCTAATTGTGAGAGGAACAGTATACCATTTCCCTTTCTCCCACCTTGGTTAATCAGCAGTGTAAAATAATGACAAAAATAGCAAGGTTTAAACAAAATTGTCACTGCCTTAAAACCACTGACAAACTTCTTGGATTGATATGGCTCCAAAGATAACATTAAATCTTGTGCCGAGGAATGTAATCCAGGCAAAGGTTGTGACCCACATAAAAAACCACATCGTTCCAGAGTCCAAAGTGGCAGAGCAAAATAGTCTCTTGTTATTTCCTTAGTTGTTTTGGGGCTGCACAGATGTGATCAACATTTTACTTGCTGAACAGTTTTGTTACAGAGAGGACCAAAGCTGTTTGGTTTAGACTGGATTTGGTGTTCTTAGTGATTGAACCTCCGCACGGGTGAAGGTGGCTCTTAGCCCTGCATTATGGCAGCAGGTGTCTGTGTCTCTGTAATGGACCCAGTAGTGGATTTTATTGTCCCATCTACTGAAGTTGTAAAGCTCTCTGAAGCATGTAGCGTGGTTTTGTGCTTTTCCTTCCTCGGCACTGCAAACGCTGTGTCTTTGGTGCCAAACACATTAGAGCTGGCAAAACCAGGGCATCAGTGAAGCCATAGACCTTCCTTTCTCCATGATCTTTCAGGGCATGGAAATGGTTTGGCAAGGGGGTAAAAGTAACTGTAATTTGTCCTACTGCCATCAGCAAAACATCCCAGACATTGGGATTCAGGGTCCATAGGCCAGCAGGCACTCTAGAGGAGACATTCCACAGCCTTGGGAAAAGACCCCTGTTTGTGTGGGTGTTGAGGGACAGAAAGTGCTGCTGTCAGCGGTCACCCTGGAATGTTTCTGTGTCTGCTAAATGTTTTGCTAAGATACAACATTGTCAGTGGGGAGAAAAGCAATAGGAAGAGAAACTGTGTGATAGGTGAAGTAGTTTCAGAATTACAGGAAGATATGCTGAAACTTTAAAGGCCAAAAGGGCTTACAGTTAAATGTGGTCCTCCTGAAATCAGTGGGAGACTTGCTAATATTTATATTGGAGTTCAAAACTTTATCCATAATGTTCCCTGTAGAAAATGCATACAGGCTGCTGATTCTGTTTTAGTCCTGTAGTTGAATCAAATTGTTGGTTCCATGTTAGTGTGCTGCCTTGGTTTAAACTCTTACTGCCTTTTTTTTTTTTTCAGTCTGCTTCCTCACACATTTCATGAGATGTTGCACTTAAATAGTGCTAAATTAAAACAAAAAAGGAAATAAATGTTTAGCTTTGTTCATTGTATGTAGCTGAGCAAGTCTTTCTAAGGCAAGTCTCACATCCTTGTGTCATTGAGTCATGTTTGTTTTATTTTTGAAGAACAGTCTTTCAGAAGAAATTCTGTGATAGCAAAGCAATTGTATACCTCTTGAAAAACAGATTTTCTGTACAAAAAAAATCTGTTTAGGATACAAATAATGGATAATAATATTTTTTAAAAATATTTTGACAGCGCCATTTTAAAACACTCCAGGAGTGCTTAAATGCTGTAATAGGCAGCTGTCAGGTACATTTACAGTGCTTCTGCCACAAAAGAAACACAGTTACTAATCTTTCTTGAGTCTTTCTTGCTGATGTTTTGAATGAAGCACAGGAGCATGATGGAAATTAAGAGTTTTTAAGCTCTGCTTGGGCTGATTTACAGGCTTTGCTTGGAGCCATTACTAAGGAAAAAAGTGCAGCAAATAGCACCAATTAAAGTTTAATTGGCACCTCAGATTGTATGAACAAGGTGTACCATGGCAGAAGTTAAAAATTTCAAAGACCTGATAGGTTTTTCTATCTAATACTTGCGGAGTTTGTCTGCTTTTCCTTCTAATGGTCACGGTAGCAGGATTTCAGCTGTTTTCCAGAAGGATGTTGCTGCTGCTGTTACAATATACCTCTGTGTTACCAGTTTCCAGTTAGACCTGGTAATGGAATTGCTGATGCCAGCTTGGAATCTTTCTTACAGAAACCATGTTTAAAAAAAGCAAAAAGTGAAATTCTTCAGCTCAGCCCCATGATTCCACAGGGTTTTTTTTTTGGTGTTTGGTGGGGGGGGGGGGTTTTTTGGGGGTTTTTGTTTTTTGTGGGTTTTGGGTTTTTGGGTTGTTTTTTTGTTGTTGTTGTTTGGTTTGGTTTTTTGTGGGGGGTGGTTTTTTTGTTTGTTTGTTTGTTTTTGGCTGTTTTTTTGGTTTTTTTTTTCTTGGAGTCTGAGGATGGAAAACATTGAAGATCATTTTGGAAATTAATATTCCATTTTAAAAAAACAACAAACACAAAACCAAAAAACCTAGCACAAACAAAGCCAAGAAAGAATTAGCAAATAATTCTAAGAAAAATGTGGTTGATTTCCTGCTTAGAAGCTTGGCAGAGTCCTGAGTTCTTTGGGGAACCATGGCTTGGATTGCAGGTGTTGGGGGTTCTGTTTGCTCAAGTAGTTTGCACATTTTAACCCTGATCTGACAGAGAGCTTTAAGTGCTACCACAATCCAATTTATGAAATGCAATTAATCCAATTTATAAAAATGCAGTACTGTTATGTCTCACCTCCTCTCTCACAGCCGTGGCCCTTTCCAGACTCATTTGGCATATTCTGCTCATGGGGCTATAACTGCTGATCTTCTCACCAAGATAAAGCAACTTGCTGGACTGTTCTGGGTTTGCCCCCAGAACTAAAACTATGTTTGCAGACACCTCGTGCTGCTGCATAACTGCTACTAATCACTGTCACAAAGAAAAGGCAGTTCTTTCAACAATAGGTACCATGGGAAAGGAAGATACACGTGAACAAAATGCAAACAAAAAGGAACCCAGGGACTTTGTTTGCTCTTCACAATTCACTGCTCAGAGGCAATAGGTGAAGTTGCCACGTTCCAGTGATTCAGAAAACAAACCACAAAATGTTATTGTGAAAGAAGCTCCTGGAATGAGTCCAGCATGTTAAAATGTAACAGGAGGTTTCACCTGCATGGAAAAGGCTTTTTTATCTCCCTTCTCTGTTTATTTTATTGTTCCATTTATTACTACTTTTCACCAGTTTTTCTCACTTGAATTCACTGGTGTTATATCTTTCTCAAGCCTCCACACTGATCTTGGCTCTTCTCGCTGAAGTGGATCAGCAGTGTGTGCAATATTCCAGGGTGATGACTTTTGAGCAAGGATAGGCTGAAGAATGGAAAGTTTCTCCTAACTGTGGAAAGCTTTCCTTTCTTGGATGATATGCCACAACAGTCCAGCTCACCACTGGAAAGTAGTTAAATGCAGAAGATTTTTATGTGTAAACTAGTAAAAGGTTAATGATATTAAAAAACATTTTCCGCAAGTGACTGTGAGCCAGTGGGAAAAATGTTTAATGAATATTCTAATCTGAAATTTATAACTTTGATGATTCAAGCTGCGAGCATGTTTTTTTTCCAAAGGATGTCGTAAAGTACCAGAAGTATCTGTTGAACTCTGGTCTCTGGGCTGCCCTAAGAGCAATATTTTTTTTTTCAGTTTTATACTAGTAATTGAGGACAGTGGAGTTAAATTGGAGCAAAATGAGTAAAGTAGAAAGGAATCACAGCCCTTTTCTTTATGGTAGTAGAGAGACAAGTGTCTCTGTTGAAAACAGAAAGCAGAAGTAATCATAGAGAGGAACATTTTACAGCACTGCTGTTTTTCTGCCCTTTCCACCAGTTCATGTGGGGCTTGGAGGGATTTCAGGTGAGGTGCATTAAAGGATTTCCACACAAGAAACCTGTGCTCGTTAGAGACTGGCTGCTCTTTAAAATGTACAGAGGGCCAAGTCATTTTCATCATCAGTTTGAAATTTTTCAGAAAAAGCTAAACAGACTGCTTTTTTCATTGTCAGTGAGCATTTCTGTAGATTTCTGTGACAGAATCTCAACATTTCTTTTACTCTGATATCAGCATTTTACATGTCCAAGACACTGAAACAATTTCCTAAAGCAGCAAATAACCATTAAACTTAAGTACAGCAGGGGAGGTAAATAATTTTAACACATAAGTTGAGCTGTCTTATATCTGTACATAGACATTTGTTAAAAAAAAAGATAGGGTAGTGGGAGCATCAGAGGTAGTTGGTTTCATAACAGTTTTTGCTTTCTGAGTGCTTTTGTAAATATACAACTTATTGTAACAGTTTTGTCATAGTTTGGATAACAACATGGGTCTAAGACTTCCGTAATCTTTCTTTTTCCTTTGTCTTTTCACTGTTTAAAAATATATCTGGAAAAAAATTGGTATATAGTATTGAAGCATCAGGCACTTAAAGATTGCATTATTTCAGCTGCTGGGAATATTTATGTGTTTGGTTTATTGTGTGTATTCTGTGTTTTCCACAGCTCTCTTCCTTTTAAGCTACAAATCTCACTTTGTTACTCTTTGTTTGCAGTGGAAACAAAAGCAGTTCATATGCCAGGTAGTGTATAGGAACTGCAGAATGGCTGAGTTGTGATAATTGGAGCAGGCTTCACTTCTGATATTTCTCATCCAGAGCATCATCTCCTTTCACCTTGTATGAGTGCTGTTAAAACATGCAGGGTGAAATTTCTTTCTTCCTACACACAGGCAGTGTTGTCATGTGTGCTTTGGGAGAAGTGCTCAGACATTTGAAAATGCAGCCTCAATCAATCCAGAGGGCTGTGGGAGGGCATATGGATTGGGGTAGTGCTTGACCACATGCAGCTTCCTGGGGCTTTCAGTTGAATAGGAAGATGCTTTTCCTCTGACCTGTGTTAATTCCTTATCCTGTTTGAATTAGAAGTGAAGGCAGTGTCTGAGACTGAATGAAGGACAATGGGCAAGAACCACTTGCCAGAATGATGTCACCCTTCAATGTATGTAACAACCAGCATAACTGATCAGTCATTTTAAGCCAGCCAGTGAAGTCATTCCTCTTGCCAAGAATTCACAAGCTTCCAGCATTAAATTTTATAATGAGTGAAAAACATAAGGCCAGACTTTTTTTTTTCTCTCATCATTTTATTCACTTATCAATATGAGCAAATGAGGTAAATGTGCCAGCTACGTGGGTAGAACAGTTTATAAATATAGCAGTAATAATTGCTGGTTAATTGGATCATTTCTTCATTGTTGCCCATTTTATAAATATCCTAGGGTTGGAAGGAGTAAATTTTAATTGGCAAATGTGGGGGAACTCATCCTCCTTAGAACAATCAAAAAAAAGTTCCTTGACTAATAATCAGGCAAAGTGAAGAAATATAATCTTGTTCTGCTAGACAACTGTATGCTTTTTCTTGTAATTTGGTCTGGCAGTAGGAAATTAGGTATGGAGTCTTGCTTTGGAAGGGCTCTGGAGCCCCTGTTAATAACCTCACCAAATTGGGAGCAGTCACTCTCCAGAGCAAAAGAGCTGTAGTTCTTGAAAAATATTAGCACTCAGAAATGTTACCTGTTAATAACCTCCCTAGCTACACCCCGCCTTGCCACCCTGCTCCTCTCTGCTGTGCCGTGGGAAGGCAGCTCCTGCAGACCATGAGGCTCTGCTGTATCCTGGGTCAGCAGACAGGTTGGTCCAGGTGCTGCTGTTCAGGAAGCACTTCGGTTTGATTGTACATATCTTTTTCTGATGGCTATTTGTGAGCTAAAAAGCATCACCTTTATCTTCTCAGGACAAGGAAGAGGAATGTCCTACTTCAGACGCAAAGCATTCCTGGTTTCCTACAGGGCCATAATCTCTGTATAGATTTAGCAGCCCACAAACAGGCAGTGCATAGTAGAGAAGTTCAGCAAAAGATAGTTTTTGTTTCATGTATCTTAACAGTTTTAAAAACCAATTATTAGAATTGTGGCTTTTATGATACTTTTATTCACCATAACTTGAATGTTTGAATAGCATATGAAATACTCCAATTTTAATGATAAGCATATCTCATTTTCTTTCAGAGATCATTAAATAGGAAAAAATTGACTCCAACTGAATTCAGCAATAAAGAAAACTCTGAATCGAGCACTGAACATGATAAAGAAAACTCATTTATCAAAACTGTACCAAGAAGAGTTAAAATATTTGATGGAGGGCAAGTATTGTACTTTGTATACTAGATATCATTGGGAAGATATTTTTCCCTAGATTCTAGACTTTGCAGAGATGTTGCTTCCTGATTGATTTATTTTAAACAACAGTTCCCATATTGTGGTCTGTGGATGTTGGTTTATGTTTCCAAGAAAAATGGAAAGTCATCAGTAGCATGGAGCCATGAGAGTTATGAGAAGGGGTAATAAAATAAAGAACAGTAGGCTGTGCGATTCATTTTTTTTTTTCTGGGGAATGAGCATTAATCAGTGCTAAGGGCAGCTAGATACAGCCAGAGATGTAAATTCTGTTCCTGTGTTTCTCTTACATGATAAATAATACCGATTCTGCAGCAAGGTTGTATAACTGTAGCTGGAGAGGAAATAGTCCAGGGGCTAAGCAGCAGCCTGCAGTGCTGTCTCTGTCTGGCAGCTTGCTGTGGCATACAGAGGCTGGAGAGCTCTGATTTGAAAAGTGCCATGGAAATATTTACTGAGAGCCCTCCTCCCTGCACCATAATACTTTAAACCTGTTGCCTGATGTAAGTATCTGTTGCTTTGGCTACAGTGTTACACTATGTACAACATCTTATAAAACGGATTTTTAGATAGAAAAGTGCCAGTGACACCTGTAAAATTTTGTAGCACCAATAGTGCATGTTTGATTAGTCACAATAGTCAGCTGTAGGGCTTTAGTTACTGGTTCCCAATTTGACTCTAGTCTAGGCCAGCAGTTAAATCATTACCAGCTGCCCAGGTAAAATATTGTTGTGTCTCTGCTTAGATGCAGACATTGCAAGGACCAGGTCACAAAAGCTTAACACAACATTTGGCATCCTTGAGTGGAAATATGAAGGGCATAATTGAATCCGAATGAATTTTTCTACCTAGAGACAGTCCCCATAGGCTGAGTCCAGAGGACATTGATAGGGAATTTTAAAGATTTTCTCATCATTGTAAGTAATGTTACTCCTTTTTCTGCACAAGGCAGAGCCTCAAAGATGCTCTTTTAAAGCTCCTTCATGGTGCTCAAACCTGCTTCCAAGAATTGACACCTTTAAAAGATACGTTCCTGTGTTGCTAAGAGGAAATTTGAAATCTTTAAATGTATCAACAGTATCTTTATTTAAAAATATTAGCTGCTATTCCTAAACAGGTCTATGACTAGTTAGTGATAAATATAGATATGAATTTAACAAATACATGCAGGAGTGAGCAAAGAGCGTGATTGGTTTTGTCAGTCATAGATTTTCATCTAATGTGTTATTTTAAAAATTCTGGTAGATGAGGGTTTCTAGCTGGACTCATTTTCCCATTACAACTAATTGTCTTACACTTATGGTACTGTTACTAGGTACAAGTCAAACGAAGACTATGTGTACGTGAGAGGGAGAGGGAGAGGGAAGTATATCTGTGAGGAGTGTGGAATACGTTGCAAGAAGCCCAGCATGCTGAAGAAGCACATTCGCACACACACCGATGTCCGTCCTTACCACTGCAATTACTGCAACTTTTCCTTCAAAACTAAAGGTAAGGCTACTTTACTGGGTATGTTTTTCCCTTTTTTCTTTCTACTTCAAAGTACAATTCTTTTCTTCTCTCAGTTGGCTGTTCATGAGCTAAAGAGGTTCCCTCTCTGTGGCATTTTATTATCTAATGTTTCAAATATTTTAATTTATTTCCTGCTTTTCCTTTGTCTTCTGTATATTTATTCATATGATCACATCTTCATATGAACGAACTGTCTGGCATACACAGTGGGTGAGAAATTGGAGTGGAAGAGGGAAATCATGGGAATATGATGAAAGTTAGGTGAAGACAAGTGAGATGGTTAGCTGCTCATCCTAGACAGAGATGGGACACAGAATCTTAAATCCCTTACAGTGTCTTTTGGAGGTAGGAGATGGACATATATTGTACTCGTATTGGCACTCAACCAATTGCTCTAGTAAAGAAATTGGCCTCTAATAAATTACTATATTGAATTTATTTTTTTTTAGCCTTGAAGAACAAAGGTTTGCTTTCCACTTGACCTTCTAAGACCCAGAGTTGGATGTCTACTTTTTAAAGCCTGTTTACAACTTTAGATACTTTAGTGTATCCCAGTTTATGCAGCCAATATATTAAACAGTGGTACTCCAGGACTCAAGTGAAACAGACAGGAGAAGTTCACAGCCAAAATAATTTCAGAAGAAAAAAAAACAGTAAAATTTTTCTTGGCTTTGAACATCATTTAGCAGCAATTTCCCCCTAAGCTGTAACCTCAGGAACATTTGTGTTTTTAGTGGGTTTGAGACTATGCAGCGGTTGGGTGGAAAACTTCCAAGAAGTAATGCAGTGCTGCACAAAGTGGGATGAATAGGCTTCAGATGTGTCAAAACTCATCACTGCATCCTGACAGGCTGGGTCATCATATTGCCTTTATGATGAAATGCTGGAGTGCAGTCCCAGTAAATTCTCATTATGTTTTTTGCAGAGGAGGGGTGCTGGCCAAGTTCAAGTAATTAAGTTCTGCCTGTGTAAAGATCTCCCTGGTTTCAGTCGTAGCAGATACTTGTATTCACATCCTCTTCTGCATTTGCTGTGCCTGGCTTGTGCTGGCAGTCAGGTGACACAGTTTGCTGTTTGGTAAGACACTCTTCATGACAGGACAGTGTAATCAGCAGCTTCATGAAGTGTGCAAAGACTGGAAAATTTGCTATTTGTGAGTCAATATATTTGCAACAATTTCAACATTTGGGATGAGTTACTCCCCTTCATTTCAAAGCAGAAATAATGTACTCCATAACCATAGAAGAGTCAGCATTACACTTTAATTTTTCCTATTTAAATACATCAAAAAACCATTTTTTTGTGAAGTTCAAGGTGGGCAGTTACTTCTAGTAACATGCATTTCATCATTTATAGATCTGAGCCACTCAGCCATTTCTTGACATTTACCATATTTTCTTTCTAAAGGAGAAGGGGAGAGCAGCCTGTGGGGCCTCTCAGCTACACATTCACTTTTGAGATTCAGATCAAGTATGTTCATGCTCTGATTTTGAATAAAATTAACATGTTTGCTTAAGTTGGCATTGAAAGTGTTTACACTAAAAATAGAATTCATCAAATACTGGAAGAGCTACAAGATACAAATTTCAGTTTCACATGATAGTTTTCTGTCAACATGACTTTGAAGACTGAATCACCCCTTTTTATACTTTGCCATAAACAAAGGAGGGATCTCTTACACCAGTACAAAATACATAATCATTTAGAATTTCCATCCTCTTCTATTTTATCTCAATAAAAACTTCCTCAATTTAGACAGCAAGTTGGTAGCACTCAGGATAGTGAATCTGCTGCAGCCCTTGACAGCTTGCATCGAGGGACAAGGTTCGAGCAAGTGAGAAATCAAATTATAAGGTTGTTATAAATTACCTGAAGAAGAGATGGACACGTTGAGCATGTATTTGTAGACATTTGTGTACTCACAAAGCACATAATTTTTTTTTTCCTTAAGGAAATTTAACAAAGCATATGAAGTCAAAGGCACATAGCAAGAAATGCATGGATTTGGGAGTCTCAGTAGGCTTAATAGATGACCAGGATGGAGAAGAAGAATTTGGTAAGGAATTAAAGTCTTCTTTCTTTATTGAATTATTGTGTCTATTTTGTCATCTCAGGTTCTTACCCTTTCTTTTCCAAAGCTTTTTAATTCTTGTACAGGGAAAAGATAGAGAGATAAAAATCTTAAGAGCTAGACCAAGGGAGCCAGAAACACTGGAAAAACTTTCACTGAAAGAAATGACAAGCATATGCTAAGGAAAAATTGCTGCTGAATTTTTCACAAAGTGTTATGCAGTTTAACTTTATCACTTTCACAGATAAATATGACAAGATTGAAAATACCAGAAAAACATCTGTTTGCCTAGAAAAAATGCAGTCAAGTGTAGTGCTTCTTTGAAAATAGTTGTGCATGAAATGGTCCAAGTTTTGGGATACATATTTCATAGAAATTAAATCGCTAACATGCCACACAAATCACAAATATGTTGCTGAGTGCTTTGCAAGGAGGTTGATCTTCTTCAAGCATAGAATTCTGTCCTCCTTCACAAATAATTGGGATAAATCTGCAGATAGAGAACATCCAGAAATGAAAAACATTATTCATCTTGACCTGTTCTACTTCTTCATTAGTGATGAGAATGTTTTCAGAAAGAATGTATTTGCTAAAAAACTTGGAATTCTGCACTTCCCACACCCCAAGAAGATTCTGCTGAAGAGATGGGATCAAGGACAGTCAAAGAGGGCTAAACCAGGTTCATGAGTGAGTTGCTTGGCATGATAAGAAAGGTGTGCCTGCAGCAGAGCCAGTGAGCTGGAGAACAGGATTGTGCATTGGGACTGTTTGGGATCTCGGCATGTCTCAGTGCAGTGATGGCATTTTTCCCTTCCTCGCCTTCCTCTGTGGGGAGATGAGTCGTGTTGCTTTGCCTTGATGTATTTTTCTCCCTCCAGTGGAATCGTTTATTAGATTGTGTGAGGCTTGGAGAAAAGATAGCAGTGGGGGTCTTTATTTAAGCTATAAGGGAAAAGAAAGATGAATGCACTTGCTTCCATATGACAACCTCTGGCAGAATAAGCGAATCATCTTGAATCTAATTCTAAATAATGCTGGGAATATGACTCAGCTGCTGTGATTCAGTAGTGCACTAGGTAGAAGGAAACCTGTGTTTTTCCCATTTTTGGCCTTCTTCAAGGTAGTCTTTTTCGTAAGCAAAAAAAATGTCTCCCTTCACAATTTGAGGTACCAGATAAATAACACAGAAGATAAGCAGAAGGACAAATTACTGTATTTTTCTTACAGAGGAACAATTTTTATTAATATTTTCAGTCTTCATTTGACAGAGAAATTGTCACTTTTTAAAGCAATGCTCTGTAGCATTTGACATTTTTGTGAGTTCTGTAAACTACAGGTGAACAGATATTTCCATTTTCTAGGAACTGAAAACATTTTATTGATTGATAAATTGATAATCCAAATTGCATGTATCAAAAGTTGCATTTGTGATTATTAATGCAATGAGAAATGTTTCAAATGTTAACTAAGTTTTCAGTAACATAGGGTCGAAGGAAGCCACTTCAAACATTTGTTGAAAGAATGCTTTCCTTTGACTTCAAGACTATTCGATTGAGAAAGAGAGGCTTTCCCTTTTTACATGTCATGTACCGGCATGTTTGACACAGCATAAGTATATTATATATGCCCTGAAATATGTTCTTTGCTCAGCACAGTAATTACTTAATAAATGAAATACTCTATTCTGGAAAAAGAAAACACGGACATTCTACAGGATTTGCTACATAATCCTTGAAATTCTTCATGGAATTTAATTTTATGGCTACAATGCCTATTTTGTTTTTCCCCAAAATAGAGGATGTAACACTTCTTTCTTTAACTGGAGCCCCAAACCAAAAAAACAACTTGGTGATAAAACCCTACCTTTTCCAAAGGATCTGGCTCAGGTGCCCATAGCAAAAGCAGCAGTGCAGCACAAAGTTCAGCACTAGAAACCTATCCAGGGATCAGGGTAATTAAACCTCTGATAAAGGTGCATTTGCTGCAGCCAAACCAGTCTGGCTTCTCCAGTTGCTGCAGAGCACAGGGCATTTACAATTATCCATGGAAATTCAGCGAGCAACCCTACACTTCACAAATGTGATTTTATCCTTCTGCTTGCCTGGCTAGCCATGAAGGGTTTTCTCATAGTAATTCAGAATCTTTTTTTGTCAGCCTATTTTTAAGGCAGAATCAGGAGGAGAAAGAAAGTGTGATGTATTTGCATACGTGTTTTGTGTAGTGTGGTTCAGTTTCCCTCTCTGAAATCCTGAACATGCTAATTTTAGGCAGCGTTTGAATCACCTTCAACCACCTCTTTGGCTGCCCTTTCCCCAGGGCAGAGGAGCAGAGCTCACACTGGGGCCAGCACCCCTTGTGCCAGGTCTGGGCTCCAGGGAGAGCCCTGGCAGCAGCACGTCACCACAAAGGACAGTGTGATGGGCTGTGGGTACTGAGCTGCACTTGTGGTGTTACATCTTTGGCCCTTCCACCCCTCCTCCCTCTGGCATGTATTGCTGGCACAGTTATGCCACATATGCTTCAGATGTTCTAAAAACCAATGTCTTCAAATGCTTAAATGTTTGGGGTTTGGTTGTTCTGTCTCTTAGAGAGTGGTCTGTCTATTCCCATCGCTTTCCTCAGCTGGAAGGCAACGTGAGAAGCAGTAGAGGAAGGTGCAGAAAATCTGATAAGAAATAATTATGACCTCAGAAAAAAAACTTCTTCCTGAAGACTGTGTGAAATTGGCCTGTTTCCTGACCTGTAGAATGTCTGTCTGTCTATCTGTCTGTCTCCACCTAATTCATTATCTGAACATTTGGAATACTGATTATTCTTATGGTAATAGAAATGTCTGCACCTTTGCTTAAAATAACTAAGCTGTATATCTTCCACTAGAATTCCACTTTGAATTAGAGAATTTACCCAGAAATTTAAGAAAGGCACCAAAGGAATTTGCTGGTTCCAGTCTTTTGTAGCTTTTTTTGTAAAGTCTGGGTAATCACAGTTATTTGAACATACAATTTTTTAGATTCATATGAGAAGCCAGCTGTGACTGACAGCAGTACAGATTAAATGGATGCAAACTGAACCAGAAGTGCAAACTCATGCACAATCCTGAGCAGAGGCAGACACAGACACACATGGAGTCTGTTTTTTCAGTAATCTGAGAAGCTGAAATTTTGTTGTGCTGTGGTGTCTCAGGAAAAAAGAAAGATGCTCTCTAGCTGTCGGAGACTGTATGTAATCAGAGCTTTTAACATAGCATTCTTTGTATTTGGACTTGTCATCATTTGGGTATTAGTAAATACTTTCTGGCCTGGGTTTTTGTATTCAAAACTATTCCCTCATCCATTTATCTTTCATCTTCTGCTCTGTGGAATGTTCTTGTCACCAAAATACAGGGTTACAATGTGAGGAATGTTAATATCTGAATTAAATTGTCAGAGGAGGTGAACTGTTTAGTGTGACAGACTGCAACTGGGGATGTCCTCTTTGGGCCTGCTCACACAACATTTTGCTGTCTAGTCTTAAAAACAACAATAATATGTGTTCAAATTACAACAGTTAAAAACTTTGAACTTGTAATAATCTAATCTGTGAATGGTATGGTATGTCTGAATAAACTTGCACAAGAGAATTTCTTGATAATGAAATCAGCAGATGGGCAGAACATTTAAGGTGTTTCTGTGCAGAAACTCCCAAAATATTCATTACTTTACCAGTAAAAAGACCTAATTGTAAGTTTCAGATATGTATTTATAGATATCTACACACACACACATTAAGAAAATACCTTCATCTTCTGCAGTATTATTACCACCGTTCTAAGTTAATTAGCTATATGTTACAGTAGATTTTAAGTGAGTTTCAATGGCTCTTCATTGGCTTAATCATGACTCAGTTTTCATTGAATCTGCATTTAAGAAGTGAAAATAAATTAAAATCCTTGCAATAATATCCTCCTTTTACAAAGAGAATGGAAGGCTGGTTCTGTGTCATTTGCAATAATTTTAAATTTTTTTTTCTTAATATTAGTGTCTGTTTACAAATGTACGAATTACTTAAGAAGGTTTAGGTGTAAATAATCTCTTTAAGTAGAAGTTGCTCTTACTTTTTGGTGTAGTTTCACTTCATTACTTTCTGTCATCTTAGGAATAAAAGTCAAAAGCCCACAGATTTTCTTCTTCTCGTTTCTGAGGAGCCCTGGTGATCACCAGTCTGAAGTTAACCCAGTAGATGTCACTGTGAGTCCTATTAGAGGGTGATGAGCAGTGGACAGTAGCTGAAGCCAGACTGAAATCAGATAATTGAAGCCTATGAGCAGGCCTAGAATAGGAGGACAGCAGGGTTGGGTATAGATGCTGCCGTTGTTTAACTGTATCTTGTTTACTGCTCTTCAAATTTATGTGAGTGGTTGTGGAAGGATCTATTGCAAGTCTAATACAATGGGTGAAAGGCAAGTCTGAGATGTAATTGTTTAGAAGAATGAAGTGAACTAATGATATACAGACCTCACTTTCAATTTATGACCATATAATGACATGCTGAAAACTACTTCTGCCTTTCTTGCTATACTCAACATTTTTTCGTGAGTTTGATGGAGAATATATAGAATATAGAATGGATGCTTTATTTTTAAATGCTTTTATGTAAATGCCAATCCATAACCTGAAGACACTTCAAGAACTTGAGACAATAAACACTGTTTTGTATTACTCAGGTGCTAAAAGCCAATACATGTAACAAATTTAGATTTAGATGCTAATAGATAGTGACTTAGTAAACTATGTCTTTAATCTGCATAAGTAGAGCTAATGGCAGTCATATAGTTATCTACATAACTGCACATTTCCTTAGGAATCTGTAAAACTGAGCAGTCCAGACTTGTATTTTCTAACTGTTCTTGTCTTCCTGCCACTGAAAGAATGAAAATGAACATTTTGCTCTTTATGTGACAATCTACTTAAATATGATTAAATTATAAGTAACTGTGACTAAGTTAT